GGCAGGCAGGGGCTCTCGTTGCTCAGTTGGTATGCTTCCCTCTCCACAGTCCCTGGGGATTCATTGGATCATGGTCCTGAACCCAGCAAAAAGAGGGTCTAAACATGCTAAAACTAACTTGGACATATGCAAGCTGAATGGTCATCCATTCATTTTGTTAATCCATCCACCCACCCACACATTCATTCATTCATCAATCCATTCATTCATTTAGCATACATTAATTGTTTGCCCAGCCTCATACTAAGCACTATGAAGAAAACCAAGATGAACAACTCAAGCTTTTAATTTAAAATCAAAAGAGCCTTGGAGTAAGAAGGGACTGTCAATCAATTCAGACCCACTTCTAAAGAAATCTCCACTACTATTATAAGAGAGGTCATGTGACTATCAGGGAAGACTCTACTGCCCACTGCCATTGAGTCGATTCTGACTCATGGCGACACTCTAGGTCTGAGTAGAATGATTCTGTAGGGTTTTCTAGTCTATAATCTTAATGAAGAGCAGACTGCCGCATCCTCTCTTAAAGAGTAACTGGTGGATTTGAACCACCGACCCTGTGGTTCGCAGACTAGTGCTTAACCCACTATACCACCAGGCTCCTTTATCAAGGAAGACAAAAACAAACAAAAAACCAAATCCATTGCCTTTGAGTCATTCTGACTCCTAATGAATGACCTTCATATAGGGTTTCAGAAACAAAATCTTTATGGGAGTAGATAACCTCATCTTTCTCCTGTAGAGTGTCTGGTGGCTTTGAATCACTGACCCTGTAGTTAGCAATCTAATGCCTAACCTACAGCTCTATCAGGCTCCTTTATTAGGAAAGGGCCTTTGTAAATCAAAGACATAACTCCTTCTATAGTGACAGTCACAGTCAGGCAAGTGTTGAGGTGAAGCATGAGCTCTGGAGTCTGACAGTCTTGAGTTCGAATCCTGACCTCCTTACTTACTAGCTGGGTGACTTGAGCAAATTTAAAAAGATTTCCTGAGCCTCCATCCTTTAACTTATAAAGTGGAGGTAAAATAACTTACTTCACAGGGTTATTTTGAGGATTAGCTTACATAATATTTGCCCAATGTGTACCACAGAGCCTGGCATATATAAAATGCTCAGTGGTCAACACTGGACTACTGACTGCAAATTTGGCAGTTCAAACCCACCAGCCACTCTGTGGGAGAAAGATGAGACTGTTTGCTCTTATAAAGATTTCAGCCTTAGGAATCTTACATAGGCTTGCTGATTTCTTGACTGCTGCTTCCATGAGTGTTGATAGTTGATCCAAAAAGAAAGAAGTCCTTGACTACTTCAATCTTTTCTCCATTGATAAGAATGTTGTTTATTGGTCCAGTGGTGAGGATTTTTGTTTTCTTGATATTGAGATGCAATCCATAGTGAAGGCTGTGCTCTTTAATCTTCATCTGTAAATATTTTAAGTCCTCTTCATTTTCAGCAAGCAAGGTTGTATCATCTGCATATCACAGTTTGTTAATGAGTTTCCCCCCAATCCCGATGCCGTTTTTCTTCATAGGACCCAGCTTCTCAGATTATTTGCTCAGCATACAGGTTGAATAAGTATGGTGAAAGAATACAACCTTGTCGCACACCTTTCTTAATTTTAAACCATTCAGTGTTTCCATGTTCTGTTCGAACAACTGCCTCTTGTCCATGTACAGATTTCTCATGAGCACAATTAAGTGTTCCGGAATACTCATACTTTGCAATGTTGTCCATAGCTTGTCATGATCCAAACAATCTGAAACTGTCTTTATGGAAGTAGAGTAGAACGCTTCTACAAGTAGATTTGAATAGCTGACTTTGCGGTTAGCAGTCCAGTGCTTACATAAATGGCCTTCTAGAGAAAGAACATGGGCAGTAGACAGTGATTGCAGAGGATCGTGGGAAGTGGGAGGCTTTCTGGTGATGTAGGGGAGCTGGGGCCTATGTGAACACTGAAGGGGAAGTCCTCCTTTGTGTGGTTTGGAAAACAAGTGGTGCTAAAGCTCTGAGAAGTGATTGATCCCCAGAGCTAGCTGCAGGGCTTGGGGAAAGCTTTGTCAAGGGTA